TAGAGGGGACGTGGGTTTGTTAATGCAAAGGCCGGGTCTCTTTGTCTTCTCTTATAATAACTTCCAGTTTTTTTCGTAGAGGGGGGGTGGTTGTCTCAAAAAAATATTTTGGGATACAGGGTGGATTATAAATTCTAGGATAAAAAAGTGGGCTTTTTTGAATTTATGGGTGTCATAACTTTTGTTTGGTTCAAAATAAATTTTTGGATATATATTGAACACCCAAATAAAAAAAAAAAAAAACTAATGTATTATAGCATCTGTGAGAGAGGATTTAAGCTAGATTTCAAATTCTAAAATTTGTAACGCTACGATTTGAGTTTGAAACAAACAAAATACAAATTGCAAGATTACATATCCCAGAATATTGACGAAACAAACAACATATTAGAAATCTCGACCCATGTTAAAAAAAAAACCTATGGATTTCAAATCCCATGGTGAAATCTATATCCTAAAATAATAGGATCTGAAACAAACACCCCGCTACATAAATAATAATAACAATTTTTTTTATATATTTTATGTTTGCTCAACAGTAGTTAAGGAGGAGAGGGAAATTACAATGTTTCGTTTAAATTGAACCACTGTATTGTACATCAGACGATTCTCTCACAACACGTGATTTTTCACTTAAATTATTGTTAGACGCCGAAACCAAGCTGTTTTAAACGATGACATCGCAGTTTTAGACCTATCCACGAACTGTTATCATGATAATGTTGTTAAAGTATTGGGAATTAATAGATTTAGGAGGGAGGAATATGAAATTGTGGAAGTCTGGTGTTAAAATTCTGATACAACAATGGATCACAGCACAGAATTTTTCGCATAAGAAGCGGAAAAGCTTTACTTACACGCAGAGCTTTGATCGTCATGAGCCTAGTGAGCAAGTTCCCAAGTCTAAAATCCCAAGGAAAAGGAAACCATTAATTATCTCTCTGATCATCAATCAATCTATGAAAAGAAACACCCTTCAAATTATTTAAAAAAAAAACCCCCAAACTTTTTCCTCATTAAAAGATTCACACTGCCTACACTACCAATCAACGGAAGGAGGATTTCATATTTCAAAATGAGGAAGACCAGGACAAAAGGGACCCTATGGGGTTCAAGGCGTGAGCCATTTTGTCAATGAAGTACACGCTAGAAAAAAGCAGCATGCGTCTCTTTTTGCTCACAAACTTTTTCGAGAGGAAAATTTCAAAAGGAGCTGGCGGGTCTCAGCCCCTGGTCTGGTGTGACGAGGAGAGAGAGAGAGAGAGAGAGAGAGAGGTTGTACAGGAAAAATTCTCTTGATATCATAGCTTTTATATTATGTAGCATATAATCATGTATAAAGAAGAATATCATTTCCTTGTTTTCTTCTTTATTTCCTGCCTTTACTGGAACTTTTCATATTTAGTCTCCAACTAGTATAAGTATATGTAATCATCATCACTAATAATATCAAGCCTTCTTTTATATTTATCATGGTATTAGAGCCCTCTTCTTCATCTTAGGGAGACCTCTCTTTTTTGCCAAGATCTTGGCGGCTTCGACACTGGCTTCAACCAGAGCAAACACCCGCCTAACCAAACGCTGGTAGCCCAAAATCATGTCCACTCAACGACAATAGAAACCGCCACAGTTCTGTACTTCCCCTTGGCGGCTTCAACTTTGGCTTCAACCAAGAGCAACATCTCTGGCGCCACCTAGAACCGCTGGTAGCCCAAACCTAATCTCTCCAAACCTTAGGCTCCTATTAGCAATAGCCGACACCTCCGCTGATGCACGGGTGACCGCTACAACTTGCTGCCACTATCCTGCCCTTGCCGCCACGCTATGCCCCTACAACAATCTAACACTGCTCTCCACGTACCCGCCAACGGCCTACCTCCGATCCGCACCACCTCTCACAAGGCAGGTTCGCCCTCTTGGAACCACCATGCGTGACCACAGATCGCCTGCTGCAACCTCGTAAGCTCCACCCTCTCACGACCGATGACCTCCACAGCCTCCTTCGCTGACTCCTCCGTCGAAAACGACAACCACCATCACGTGGTGGGCAAAATGTATCTTATAGGGTGTCGTGTGCAAAATCATATAGGGAGAAAGTTGGAAGTGATGTCCTATAATCAATTCTAAATCAATACAACCAATATATACAAATATATGTACTCACTAATCACACTATATCGAAATATTCATCAACTTAAAATCTATATTTTACTACTGATTTTCTACAGAGCGCTCCCTACGGATTTCTTTTCCACAAATGGTCGCAAAAAGCTCCTGTAATGTTGTGTGTAAAAACTATATAGAGAAGTAGAAAGCGAATTACCAATTTTAAATCAACGCAAACAATATACAAAATTGGTACAAGTAGTACATATAAAACATTTAAAATTTTGTGAAACAGAATATAAAATCAATACAAGGTATACAGTAATCATCACAATCAATAAAGTTTAACACCATCGCTTGGACAAATACAAGCTTATATGTGCTCTCGACTCGTGTATGAAAATAGAGAGACAATAGTAAAAAGGGAGTACACATCTCTTGCGAGCTTCGAAGAGGGGGGGCCAAATGCAACCAAAGTTGTGAGGGGGGGAAAAGAACTTTTGCTTTCTTTAGTTTCGTGTTCTCTCTCTCTCTCTCTTTTGTTTAGAACGAGGAACCCCCATCTTTGTAGTTTGATGTCTATGTTGTATTTAAACGATTTTGGAGCTTTAATTGTTTGAAATAGAAACTAGTTTAAATTTTTCTTGAAGGGGGTTGAGCATCAAATTTCGAGAAGGGGACAAAAGATCAAAAGGAGGTAGTAAAAGCAAAAAATGAGAAAAGGAAAAAAGAAAATCTTGTTGCAGACGTTTTTACATTTGTGAGACAGCCCACTTTATTGTTTTTTCCTTTTTTGCCACTGTATATGTGTGGGCGTGGGTGTGTGTTGGGGGGTTGAGAAGTTGAAGTTTTCCATTTCTTCGCATAAAAAAAACTTACAGTACATGCATTTGTTCATAAAAAGAGAACATTGTTGTGAGATTTAATCTTATTTATAATCGTATTCAATTTCAAATGTCGACACGGATATAATATACAAATACAGTTTGCAATCAAAACTAAAATCTTTTAATCGGAAAAGAGACATTTTTTATGCTTTAGTCCTAAAAATAGACAGAAAAATAAAATCTTTTTTTTATAATTTCCAATTTGAAGTAAACATGAGTCACTAATGGTCAATTTTGTGTCTTTTTAGCCCAACAAATAATGTAACATTTTTTTCAACTCTAGTCTACAATCCACAGTACCAAATATAGTGTTAAGAGACGCACACCTGACGTGTACAAATAACGGGTATATAACCCGGGCATTCGAAATGCCAACAAAATCAAGACATAAGATGTGTTTTATTTGCAATTTATACTTTAATTAACAACAACAACAATAATAATCTCACCATGCCAAATGAAGAAACACTGAAACAATAAATAAACATAACACAACAGCCACCGTCCAAATCTTCCCAAAACACGAGCTGAAATTGAAGATATATTCCCTCCCATGAAAAGGTCACCACAACCTCCAAATTTCCTCTCAATTCATCGAATGAGTATCATCCATAATGTTAGTGCTTTGTATTTGTGGGTGTAATAAATCCCCTCATCGCACCAACCTACATAATAACAACCATGCATACTCCTAAGTTCCCTCTCGCACATTCTTGTGTTCTCTCATGACCTCTAGTGCTATGGAAGTGTCCTCTAGCACTATGGAAATTTTACCTATCAGCTTCTGATGTAGAACACACAGCAGACACGTTTATGTCAAAGTGGGACAGTCACAAGCCCAAATGCGGGCCTGGTCGAAGAAAATAACTTGTTTCGAAGAAACGGCCGTAACGGGCCTGGTCGAAGAAAATAACTTGTTTCGAAGAAACGGCCGTAACTTTCAAACCGTACGTCGGAATTGAACGAATTATATATGAAAATCGAGAAGAAACGGCCGTAACTTTCAAACCGTACGTCGGAATTGAACGAATTATATATGAAAATCGACTATCTCAACGAGACGGAGCCATCCAAACCAACCCTATGGGTTCGGTTTGCTTCCTCCGTTTAGCCAAATTCCATGCGGTTACGGTTTGAGAGATATATGTATTTTTATTTGTTTTTAGTAATGCTTTAGGAGTCTGTTTTGATTAAGAAACAAATCCGATTTGATCTCAGATTTGACCGGTGGACTTTCCTAGTCGTAATGAGTCTTTTTAAGAGTTTTAATGTTTTAGGAATTCTTTTACTATTTTTGGTAAGTTAAGAGTCATTGTAAGAGTTTGAGTCCTTGTAAAAGTCTTGTTTCTTTTCTATTTAGGTAAGGTCTTGTAAGCCCTAAAGTCATAACTTTTGATTAATAAAATTTTGTTTTTCTTCAATATTTACTTCGTGGATTCGAAGATTGTTCTTGGTGGATTCCAATGCTACTACTTCCACGTTGCGTCAGCTTCTCAGTAAATTCTCCATTTTCCCCACTCTTATGATGGCATAAAATTCTTTGGGTTAATTTCACAAAACCACCTGAACTTTGGAGTTTTGCACATAACCCCACTAAACTTTGTTTATCTCACATAACACCCCCTAAAGTATGAGGTGTCTCACAAAACCCCCTTGAACTTTATCTTATTTTATATAACCCCCTGCATATAATTTACAAACAAATGAAACATCTTTTGAGTGGGGGAAAAATCTCAAAATTTGTCACTTGCCATGTATCTGCAGCATACTCCCTCCCCAATCTTTTCTATTTTTTTCCCTCAAGAAAATTTAGTTATTCACAAAGTACATATATGTAGTCTAGGTGAGGTAAAATTTAGGGGGAGTTTGTGAGACACCCCATAGTTCGGAGCGGTAATTGAGATAACAAAGTTTAGGGTGGTTATGAGCAACACCCCCTAAAGTTCAGGGGGATTTGTGAAATTAACCCAAATTCTTTTCAAACATATAGTTTGTAGTCAAAGGGGGTAGCCGGGTAGGTGCATGCGTTCATTTCGATTCTTACACCCTCCTTTTGTTAGATGTATATAGTATGTAGAAGATTTTTAAATCCTCACTATTTGTATGATATTATTATATATATCTGATTACGTTATATCCTCTTTCCTACATATTTTTTTCCCCAAAAAGAAAAAGAACATAATATAAATAATGAAAATCTATCCTGCAAGTCGCCTTGATAGTCTATAATTCCTACAAATAACCCTGATTACAGGGATAAAGCAATCACCTAATATGTGCTATCAACAAGTTGATTCATTCATCCAAAGAGGAAGAAAAACAAATATTTATAATAATGCAAATTACAAAAATATCCTTATGTGTTCATAAATAGGATATCTTACTTCATTATCTCAAATCGTCAGGCATGGGTTCCAGTGACAGTACAAAGACAACTGTAAAAAAAAATGGAACTACAATTCATATACCTCAAACAGCTGATGCAGAGAGTCAATATTCCGAGCTCGTCAACACAACTTCAGTTTCTTTAGCCTGCAGATAGTGAAGAGATTCTTACCTGTGCATCAGCCTGCAGCTTCTCATTTGCTTCGGTCATGACTCCTAAGAAATCCTTGATTTTTCCAAGAACTACAAGTAAACCAGAGGAAAATAAGGTAAAACGAATGTACTCAAGTTTAAGCTGTGTTGCTGTAATGTTACTGGCAAGGTGTAGCTATAGTGTTTGTCGACACTTGATGGTAAATGCATTTTTGTTTAAGAAACAAATGAGGTTCAGGGTGCTCCAGCTGAGAGGGAATCAATTGAGATGGTTTGGAATGTAAATGGTGGTGACTAAACGCACCTTTAGGAGAAGTGACGAGATTATATCATTATAATCAAGAGCAAAAGAGGACTAGAGATAGACCTATAAAAACTTCGCTTGAAGCAATTAAGAATGATATGATAATAGTCAATTCAACATACCAAATAAGATGTATACTGTTTTATCTAAAATAAAGGATTTTAATCATGGGTAAATAAGCATCATACCAAATAAGATGCCCCCCACCTCTATTTTATGTATCCTTGCTTCTTTGTGTGAGTGGTGTTTAAGACTTAAAAGAATAACCAATATGAGTATAGGCTCATTACTACCCGTCTAAGATCTTCATTTGATTATGAGTTACTCATAAATTATGGCAAAAGAACACCAAAGACAGACCCTGAGAAAGAAAATAAAAAAATAAGTATTGGTATGTGAAGGGTGTTTCTTATTTAGGATAACATTACGAATCCTTAAAGATAGCATGGTGATGATATTATACCTACGAGGCTACAACACCAATATCTATCCTCATCAAATTGGAACTCTTATTCATCCAACATGCGATCTTTATACAACTCCGCAGAATAACAGAAGTTTAATTCTGGAGTTCTGGGTGATTATGAGCTCATTGCCATTTTCCACATGAAGCTTAATGTTGTGGCGCTAAATAAGTGAGACAACAAATATAGAATCCATTTCACAATCCTTGGTCATGTTTAATTACAAATCCCCAAACCCTCATCTTCTTCCCTTCCCTAAACACACACACTAAAGAAAAGCACATACCCAAATGATCATGCTTTTGCAGTAAGGAGAGCCAAAATATATTTAGGTATAAAAGGTCTCAAACAGTTCCAAACTACTTCCTTCAAATTAAGACTTGAACCCAATTTGCTAACATTCTCTACAGGATAGCTCTTTTAAGACGTCTNCTACCCCCCCCCCCCCCCACCCACACACACACACATTGAAACAATATACATGGTTATGTATCTTGAGCACCAACTCTTGAAACACGTCAATTAATAACCATCAGCAGACAAAGCACATTACATCTATTCAGGAGGACAAGCAAAGGACTCACATCAATATACCAGGAGCATAACAATGATGACCAAATGCGTAGAATATTGCGAAGTGATCATTTGGTGTCTCGCCACCTATTCACATGCTTGCTATGAACAAACTGTCATCTCCACCATGACGATAGACTGTCATATCTAAACAACGATATTAAACATATAACGGAAAATAGAATCATAAATAAAAATTTGAGTATGTTACTTAACTAAACTGAACTTTACATTACCTCTACAACAAGACATTCAACTTTTACATAGGTCCACTGATTGATGAACCAAACCGAAAGCAAAAGTCAGATAAATTCATAACCATAAGAGCTGAATCAGCTCTAATATGTCCTATGGAAATTTTCTAGCCATTACAATCTATCAGTTCGATAAATCACATTACACATAAGGGAAAAGTTTTACTGCCAACACCGGCGTAAATTATACTTCTCAAATCGTACGAAGCTTCAATACATCCCTATCACTTTTAAGCCAACATTTACCACTCATAACTCATATTTTGATCACTTTTCACGCCATAAGTTACACACAATTCATGCATTTTCGCTGCATGCAGCTACTTAAACAGACTTAAAGTTTGATTAGGGGAATCTTTGAACTATAGTGAAGTCTGAACTCAATAAATCAAATAAAAATTGTGGTTTAAATGTTTAATACCTTGGCTTTTAGGGACTTCAGTGGTCAAAACTCCTCCTTTCTCATTCCCGCTCAACAAAGTTTTCTTCTTTTGGGGTTTTGACGCAGAATCATTGTTGCCCGCTAGAAGTCACTCTGCAGTTCCAACAAAATTAGGGTTTTGTTATGCCAGTTAAAGGGGAAGTAGCGAAAAAATTTCAAATATTTACCGAATACGGAAGGATTTGAACGCTGATCCAACAATTCTTTGCTGGTTTCGGCCATTGAATTTTGTGGAAATCAAGCAAAAAGAGGGGGAGAAGGTGCTAACAGAGACCCTAGAAATCGTTAAGAGGAAACGGGTGCAAAAGAAACGGGTCGGATCCATTTATAGTAGATCCCATGTTTTAATATGACATAAATTTATGGTCCAATATAAAACTATAAACTAGGCCAAGATTGCTAATAGATAATTAGCCCGTAAACTATTGGGCTTTTCCTCTCGGGATCCTAACTCTCAGCTAATTTCAAAATTTGAAAGATTTGGAATAGAGGCGACAAAGAGCTCTTTTTTTAAAAGAGAAAACTTGCTTATATAGATGCATGGCACATTATCAGCTATTGGGATTTTCTTCTCATAAACTTAGAGGCCTTATGTCATTGACATGATACACATTCAGATTTGGAATAGATGTGACAAAGAGCTCTTTTTTAAAAGAGTAAAGTATTGGGCTTTTTCTCTCATGAAGTTAGAGGCCTTATGTCATTGACATGATACACATTCAAGCAATTACTTGTAAATTGAAGATGTAGAAACTTTAGATGCTCTAAGCGGAATTGCAGGAAACGTTTTCCTTAACATCTAAACGAAGGATCTATTGCATAAATCAATTGGATTAAGAAAAAGGAAAAACGATTACCTCTTGATGCATGTTCAAAGCCTTCTCTAATGGAGAGATTAAGAGTCTCACTTGAAAACTCCTCTAGTTGATCCACCCGAGCAAAGATCTGGATCCTTAGAAATCAACTGCTAGGTTGAAGATGAAAGGTTTTTGGGAGAGAAAGTAGTAACACTTTCACGTATATAGAGAAAGTGGAATTGGATTGGATTTTCCAAAAGAAAAACCACTCTTATTTATAATCCACAAATTAAAGTCATATTTAATTCTATAATTAAATATTATCTTTTATAACATTTATAAATAAATTTATCCTTTATTTAACAATAACTCCTTATTATTAATAAACTCTATTTTGAAGTTATATCTTATATAACTTTATATTATATACTTTATATAATAATTCTCCCAATATATCCAGTCCATAAACTCTTAGGGTGTGACCTCGTAGGACCCAATTATAATAGCAATGAACTTTATAACATAAAGTCCATAAATCATAGTTGGCTTCTAGCAAAGCACTATGACTACCTAAAATAACCGGATTGTAAATCTCCATTAAATGTCCCATACCATAATTAGTAATTGTACATTCGATTAAAGGACACAATTCCTTCAGATTGCTGTAGCTGGTGTCCCATCCATAATTAGTAATTGCACATTCGATTAAAGGACACAATTCCTTCAATCTCCCACTTGTCCTTGAAACAAGTGTGCAATGTTAAAATTCCTTTGTCACTTAATGTCTTATTTGACTATATGATGAAACTCATCTTTATCGCCAAATATGTTTCTTGAACTCTTGAGATCGAACTGTCAGTACAAATGATTACTAATAATCCATCTGAGCATGGCCATGCGTTTTTCACAGTTCTCACTCTTCAAGTGGCCGAGACACCGTTCCTTTCCAAATGTATCATGGTATACATGGAATAGGAGGACATATTCAATCTTGTAAGACTATATCTCCCACTCAACTTTTGGCAATCCCAATCACTACTTTTATAACTGCCTGTTACGGTCAGCGTTTAGCAGCGTCAAAGACATACCAGCAGTCAAATGATGACTATATCATACTCATGTCTAAGGAACTCACTAATCATGAATAATCCTAGAACTCTGCAGAAAGAACCCGAAGAGTTCTATGATAGGTCTGTCCGATATGTATCACCATACATACCTATGTAATCGATTAGACATCTCCATGTCCCTATAACACATGAAACCCGGTGTTATCAATCAATCTCACAATATGGTCTTGAATTAAGTCATTTGTATCCTAGTTAATGACTCAGACCATGAACAACTAATAATTTTATAATATCAGTTCACTTAATGGGGTTTCATTTACCAAAACAGTTTTGATGAGCCCATTTGATAATTATTAAATTATTCGGATACTTTATCTAATCCCAAGCAGTGATTAAATAATAATATGATACTCATATATATAAATCAAGCATAAATGTCTGTAATAACGAAAATATTTCAAAATATTTCTCCAATGTGTCTGAGCCCTTTGGCCCGAGTGTGACTATCATGCTTGGGCCTAGGCAAGGGCTTGGTCAAAGGATCTGCAATGTTGTCGTCAGTGTGCACTTTGCACATCCTCACGTCTCCTCTATCAACATAGTGTCTGATCAAGTGGTACTTTCGTTGGACGTGTCTAGATCTGGAGCTAGAGCTAGGTTCCTTGGCTTGAGCAATGGCGCCATTGTTGTCACAATAGACGTCAATTGCTCTAGAAGTGCTAGGAACAACACCGAGCTCAGCTATTAACTGTCTAATCCAGACCGCCTCCTTAGCTGCTTCACTAGCAGCAATGTACTCTGCTTCCGTTGTAGAATCTGCTATTGTCCCTTGCTTTGAGCTCTTCCAACTGACGGCTCCTCCATTCAGAATGAAGACATATCCAGACTGAGATTCAAAATCATCTTTATCTGTCTGGAAACTCGCATCAGTGTAGCCCTTGACGATCAGCTCGTCATCACCTCCATACACTAAGGCATTATCCTTAGTTCTTCTCAAGTACTTTAGAATGTTCTTGGTTGCACACCAATGTGCCTCTCCAGGGTTTGATTGGTATCTGCTGCACATACTCAAAGCGTGCGCAACATCTGGGCAAGTACAAGTCATAGCATACATGATGGGTCCTATGGCTGAGGCATAGGGAATCCTACCCATTTTCTCAATTTCACCTGGTGTTTTAGGACACTGGCTTTTACTGAGACGTAAGCCATGTTGCATAGGAAGGAATCCTTTCTTAGAATTCACCATATTAAATCTAGCAAGGACCTTATCTATATAAGTTCCTTGACTTAGACCAATAAGCCTCTTAGACCTATCTCTATAGATCTTAATGCCTAATATGTACTCTGCCTCTCCTAGATCCTTCATTGAGAAATACTTCTTAAGCCATTCCTTGACTGTCTCCAGCATAGGAATATCATTTCCAATGAGTAATATGTTATCCACATATAGAACCAGGAAGGCCACTTTGCTCCCACTAAACTTCTTGTAAACACATGGCTCTTCTTCGCATCTGATGAAATCAAACTTTTTGACCACTTCATCAAAACGAAGATTCCAACTCCTGGATGCTTGCTTAAGTCCATAGATAGACTTCTTAAGCTTGCATACTTTCCTAGGATTCTCTGGATCCTCAAAACCTTCTGGTTGCATCATGTATACATTTTCTTCTAAATATCCATTTAGAAAAGCGGTCTTGACATCCATTTGCCATATCTCATAATCATAATAAGCGGCAATTGCTAGGATTATCCTAATGGACCTGATCATAACAACCGGTGAGAACGTTTCATCATAGTCAATACCATGAACTTGTCTAAATCCTTTGGCAACTAATCTTGCCTTGTAGACAGAAACATTTCTATCCTTGTCTGTCTTGATCTTGAAGATCTCATAATCATAATAAGCGGCAATTGCTAGGATTATCCTAATGGACCTGATCATAACAACCGGTGAGAACGTTTCATCATAGTCAATACCATGAACTTGTCTAAATCCTTTGGCAACTAATCTTGCCTTGTAGACAGAAACATTTCCATCCTTGTCTGTCTTGATCTTGAAGACCCATTTGCATCCAATGGGTTTTACCCCATCAGGCAAATCTATCAAGTCCCATACTTGATTCTCAGACATGGAGTCCATTTCGGATTTCATGGCTTCAAGCCATTTTTCGGAGTCGGGGTTCGCCATTGCTTGTTTATAGGTAGCAGGCTCATCATTCTCTAAAAGTAGAACGTCAATGCTAGCATTCAAGACGAAATCCTCATATCGTCTAGGTTGCCGCCTTGGCCTGTTTGATCTCCAAAGTGGTCCAACAGCTGGAGAGACTTTAGCAGGAGGATTGACCACATCAGTATGTGGGACCTCGGGTGCTTCATCTACCTGAGGAATTGCATCTTGAATATGGGTGGTTTCCCTTTGAGAAGGTACGCCTCCAAAATCAAGTTCCTCTGTGACATCTTCTATGTCCTCATGCTGTAGGGTTTGTTGCTCAGGTTGAATCTCATCAAGCTGAACATTTCTCCCACTTGACTTCTTGGAAAAGAAATCCTTTTCCAAAAAGACACTATCCCGAGCAACAAACACTTTGTTCTCAATGGGATTGTAGAAATAATAACCCCTCGTTTCCTTGGGGTAACCTATAAAGAAGCATTTGTCTGATTTGGGTGCGAGCTTATCAGATAGTAAACGCTTTACATAAGCCTCGCATCCCCAAACCTTCAGAAATGACAAGCTGGGAGGCTTCCCAAACCATATCTCATGTGGTGTCTTGTCAACTGATCGGGACGGAGTCCTGTTTAGTGTGAACGCAGCGGTAGTGAGGGCATAACCCCAAAAGGATGTAGGAAGATCAGCAAAACTCATCATTGAGCGGACCATGTCTAACAATGTCCTGTTTCTCCTCTCAGACACACCATTCAGTTGTGGTGTACCTGGTGGAGTCAGTTGTGTTAGAATACCACAACTCCTCAAATGATGGTCGAATTCTTGGCTCAGATATTCACCCCCTCGATCTGATCGAAGTGCCTTTATCTTCTTGCCTGTTTGTGTCTCAACTTCATGCTGAAATTCTTTGAACTTTTCAAAAGACTCAGATTTATGTTTCATTAGGTAGATATACCCGTATCTACTAAAATCATCAGTAAATGTAATGAAGTATCGATAGCCTCTCCTAGCTTCTATGCTCATAGGTCCACACACATCGGTATGTATGAGAGCTAAGAGCTCAGTAGTCCTTTCACTTGTACCTTTGAAAGGTGACCTTGTCATCTTACCCATTAGACATGATTCACATGTTTCAAATGATTCTAAATCAAATGACTTTAGGCTACCAACTGTTTGGAGTTCCTTCATGCGTTTAATGCTAATGTGGCCTAGGCGACAATGCCATAGATTGGCTTCACTTATGTCATTCGACTTTTGCCGTTTTGTATCAACGTTATAAACTTCAGATTTGAGATCCAATATGTATAATCCACTATTATTCATATGGGCTTGAGCATAAAAGATGTCATTCTTAAAAATAGAAAAACAATCCTTAATGACAAAATTATAACCCTCAAGGTTCAAAACTGAAATTGAAATCAAATTCTTAGTAATAGAAGGAACAAAATAACAATTATAAAGTTCTAAAACCAAGCCAGAAGGTAGCGGTAGACTATAATCTCCAATGGCAAGTGCAGCAACTCTTGCTCCATTTCCAACGCGAAGATCTATCTCACCCTTCTGCAACCGTCTCCTATTTCGTAGTCCCTGCACATTCGAAATAATGTGAGAACCACAACCGGTATCTAATACCCAAGAATTGGAGTTAGTTGATAAGATTTCAATGACGCAAATACCTGAAGCAGAGGCACCCCTCTTCTTATCTTCCAGATATTTGGGGCAGTTTCTCTTCCAGTGCCCCTTAGCCTTGCAGTAGAAGCAGTCATGCTCAGCAGCCACCTTTATTTTAGGTGTGTTTCCCTTAGGTGGAACAACTGTCTTGCCCTTCCCTTGAGACTGTTGCTTCTTCTGTGGCCCTTTCTTAAACCCTTTCCCTTTGTTGACCATAAGAACATCCTTCCTAGGTTCAACCAAGACATTTTGCTCAGCAGTTTTGAGCATAGCATGCAGCTCATTGAGGGTCTTACCCATGGCTCCCATGTGATACATCTGCCTGAAATTGGCAAATCCATCATGTAAGGAATACAGGATTATATCTGTAGCCATCTCAATATTGTAGGGGTTCCCAAGTCGAGCCATCCTGTCAAACAGGCCTATCATGTGGAAAACATGTGGCCCCACTGGTTTCCCCTTTTCGAACTTGCTTTGCAATATGGACTAAGGGTCTCATACCTCTCAATCCTGGCCTGCTCCTTAAAGAGATCTCTAAGATTTCTCATAATTGTAT